CCAGTGGTGTCGCCGAGTGCCACTGCAATTCTTGTGTGTGTGTGCAGTCGGCTCGGTCGGGATTCTGTGGCAGCTGCGTGCGTGCAGGTTTTCGTTTGTTGGCTGAGGAGTCCCTCGTCATGCCGTGAATCGGGGCCGATTCTCTCGGTCGGCCGTGGTCAGTCCCAGACGTTTAGGGTTGAAATTTTCCTCGTAGGCGCAGCACATTTTCGGGCAGGTGACCGACAGAAATCGGGATCGCTTAGGATTGGAATCGGTACAGAGTTGCTTTGAATTACAATGGCCATCTACAGTTTCCCCAGAATATGCAGAAATGTATCTGAGCGTAGTTCGATCATGATAATGAACTGACGTCTACTAACCTCCGCATTTTCCCCTCTTTTCCCCCCTGCAAGGATAAGAAAATCCGGGATATCGACTCACCGGTCAACGAATATGGGAATCTCCAGGTTGGCATCTCCGGCCCTCCAGGAAATCCCTGCGTTGGGCTCACTCTCCCACTTCCTCCACCTCCAGTCCGTCTGCTTCCGAGCCAACAAGCGGCGATTTGCCCTGCCGAACTCTGGAGGCCTGCCCGATGTGGTTTAGGGTACCGGCCTAGTCCCGAAACAGTGGGTCGCCTCTTTCCCATTAGCCTCGTGACTGGAGAAGGTAAGCGGCTTCTCCACGTTGGGCAAGAATCCCTTTCAATTAGTAGTATTGCTCGCCTCCCCTTCCTCTTTCAAATCTTGCCCTCCTTCAGCTCGCTTCTCTACAAAACCTGGCTGAGACAGTTGTGAGCAATGACACGGTATCCCGTCTCATCATCCCGGCAAATGTAATCACTATTTTCTGTATACCCATCTCAATCCATAGAACTATGAGCCTATCTATCAAAACAGGCTTCTAAACGACGCCATATCATTCTGCCTTCTTCCACCCCCCGTTCCATGGCTATTCTCTTACATGCGCCTCCTATCCGTTCCCCATCCTGACCCAATAATGTTGATCCGTTTTCATCTCTCCCGGCTAAAGTTCTGTCGCCAGACGCCAGTGCCGATGCGTTGAGCCAACGAGCGTCCGCCACCCGACCCTCCTTGCCCCGAAAGGGCCGTGGAACCCGAAGTTATGCCTGCTCCCCCTGGTACGGCCGGCCCTTCCCCAGCATTTCGGCTGTTCTGACTGGTCTATCGGTTTCGGCCGGCCGTCCATCCTCACTGGTTGACGGCCTCTCGCTCATGAATCGTCTTGGTCGGTCTCCCCCGGCGGCACTCGCTGCGGTGCTGCATCTGATGTCGGCTCTCCACACGTCGGCTCTGACGCCCCCCTCCCCCGTGGATCTCTTTTCCCAGGTGAAATTTTTCTCTCTGTCGTCTCATACGATGGAGGACATAAAAGGGCTTGCATCTCCCCAGATTCGGGCACTTTTCTATCTTCCATCTCAACCCCGACAATCATCACTTATCTTGACTTTTACCCTACGGTGATCTTCAACCAATCTCAACCTAGGGTCTCCTCCTATTACTTTATTTACTATTTCCTCCTCTTTATCTTGTCTTTGACTTGACGTCCTTCCCCACTGACAAACAAACAAAACATCCTCCACGTGTCCACCATGGGTGTCGAAACCTCCGCTGACCACGGGGAGCACATCTCCCCGGCGGTCGCTCCCCAGCAGCACTCCAGCCAGGAGTCTTTCCAGAAGCCTCTTGGCGGTGTTGACACCCCTGTCCCCCGCGTGACCATGCGGGCATTTATCATGGCCGTCTTCGTCTCCATGGGTGGTCTCCTCTTCGGTTATGACACTGGTCAGATCTCCGGTTTCGAGCAGGAATCCGACTATCTCCGCCGCTATGGTATGCAGAACGCCGAGGGCGAATGGTACCTGAGTGACGTCCGCTCCGGTCTCTTGACCAGTCTTCTGTCCATTGGTACCCTGGTCGGTGCTCTCGTCGCTGCCCCCATCGCCAACAAGATCGGCCGCAAGTGGTCCATCACCTTCTGGTGTGTTATCCTCATGGTCGGCTTGATCGTCCAGATCTCCGCCCCCTCCGGCAACTGGGTCCAGATGGTCATGGGTCGTTGGACCACTGGTCTGGGTGTTGGTGCCTGCTCCCTGCTCGTCCCCATGTACCAGGGTGAGAGTGCCCCCCGTCACGTCCGTGGTGCCATGGTCAGTTGCTACCAGCTGTTCGTCACCTTCGGTATCTTCCTGGCCTACCTCATCAACCTGGGTACCAACACCCTGGAGGGTACTGCCCAATGGCGTATCACTCTTGGTCTGACCTTCCTGTTCGCCATCGTCCTCGGTGGTGGTATGGCTTTCTTCCCCGAGTCTCCTCGTTTCGACTTCCGCCACGGCCGCGTCGACCAGGCCCGTGCCACCATGGCCAAGCTGTACGGTGTGCCTGAGAACCACCAGGTCATTCTGCAGGAGCTCGACGAGATCCAGAACCAGCTTGAGGCCGAAACCGGCAGCGAGAAGTGGTACGAATTCCTCACTGCGCCTCGCATGTTCTACCGTATCTGCCTGGGTATGGCCCTGCAGACCCTCCAGCAGCTGACTGGTTCCAACTACTTCTTCTACTACGTATGTATTCCTACAAACATCTTTACAATGGTTCATCATACTAATATCTCCTAGGGTACCACCATCTTCAAGGGTGCCGGTCTGTCCAACAGCTTCGTTACTCAGTGCATTCTGGGTGCCGTCAACTTCGCTTGCACCTTCGGTGGTCTGTACACCGTTGAGAACTTCGGTCGTCGCAAGTCCCTGATCTTCGGAGCCCTGTGGATGTTCGTCTGCTTCATGATCTTCGCTTCGATCGGTCACTTCATGCTCGACGTCGCCGAGCCCGAGAACACCCCCGGCGTCGGCAAGGGTATGATTGTGCTTGCTTGCTTCTTCATTGCCGGATACGCCATGACCTGGGCTCCCATGGTCTGGACCATCACCGCCGAGCTGTACCCCTCCAAGTACCGTGCCCAGGGTATGGCTCTGGCCGTTGCTGCCAACTGGGCCTGGAACTTCCTGATCGGTTTCTTCACTCCCTTCATCACCAGCGCCATCGACTTTGCCTACGGTTACGTTTTCGCCGGCTGCATGTTCGTCGGTGCCTTTGTCGTCTACTTCTTCGTCATGGAGGGTAAGGGCCGTACTCTTGAGGAGCTTGACTGGCTGTACGTCAACAAGGTCAAGCCCTGGAAGAGCAGCAACTTTGAGATCCCTGCTCTGCACTCCTTCCAGTACGAGGAAGAGCGCAAGCAGTCTCGTTCTTACCACGCGGAGAACGCGTAAATATCGGGTTAGGAGTTTTGGGAGATTGTCTATATGTTGATGGATATGGCTTGCATGATACTATTGCATGTTTGCATGTTGCATGATTCGCATGATACCTTATTATTATACCATGTACTGTTAATTTTTTAGAGTTGATGCATCAACTGGATTTCAAAAATTTTATTCAAAAAATTTTATTCAACTGTTATTCACACTTTGCTTTTCATTTGTTCTTATTGTAGTGATTGGTATTATTTCATCTGGGACGAGACAGAGAGTCTGTATTTAAAGTACATTGTATTGTATTCATAGTTATGCTTCTAGATCCATCAATACAATTGCTATCTAACTTGGTTAATCAACAACTCCTTCACATTACCCTTCATAGCCGTCCATAGAATTCACCCCAATCAACAGTGATGGAACTCCATTATTCAATATCATCATAGTTACAATTAATTCCAAATAGTTCAAATTCCTCCATATATAGTCCTAGAACCCTCATAACAACCTCCCTCGTCCTACCTCATCCTCCACCATCACCATCAAGCACCACACTCCTCTCGCTGCACCACTAACCCAACATCACGTGAACGCCACATCGCCACCCTCGCCACTTTCCCACCCAACCAATCAACATCACCGATCTTGTCCATGACACCGAGACATCTGGAAACGTCGATCGGCATCGGCACCAGTAATGCTGACTTTGACATCTGATGGAACCTTCCCGACCACCATGTGACCGTATCCAACCGGCATGTTCCTATTCACACATGGTGAACTATATTTCGGGGATTTGCGAAGAAGCAAGATTTATCGGGAGTCTCCGTCGCTTGATTGCTTCCGTCGCTTTATATTGTTAATTGCACGTGAGGTCACGAGGGAGTATATAAGGAAGACATGAAGTACTTGCGTCGTACTCATTCTGCTCTTCAGGCCTGGAGAATAGGGGGAGGGGCCATGGTCGATACTTCTTTGACTATAATTGGGGGTTTTTATAGTATGGTGGGATTGGAAAGCTATGCCAAAATGATGTCTCCATTCTGGTCTGGTTGATCTGTTGGTTGCTGGGAGATAAATTTTAAGGATGCAAAGGATTACTTCCCATATTGCAAGAGGTTGTACAATGGTACATGGTATCTCTTACTGCTCTGTATGGGATGATATCACCATTCTAACAGAGACCTCCATGTTTGGTCAGCATACAAACCTTTCCTTGATAAAGACACTGGGAAAAGGTCTTTCATCCTTCATGCGGCCTGCTGGGAGACCCTTTCTGGAAGAATACCAGGAGGTGGATTGAAACTTGCAAGGGCCAGCAAGATTATACATGCTATGCTCTATCGTTCATTATGCGATGCCACATCTACTAATAACCCAGGTCATAGGTTTGGGACAATTCTCGGCCGTATTCCAGAGAGATTTCGATAAGGCATTACAACTCGCTTTGGACAATGATGAAGGGAGATGTCGAGAGGAGGCTTATGTGTTGGTGAACTTCCTCCAATTTGACTTTATGTTCCGGGGTGGGCTTCGGTACTGTCTATAACAGGATTGGGTTTCAGAGGACATATTTGCTTGAATCATCTGCGATTTGCAAACTACACTCAGGATGACACTATATATACTGGTGTCGAAAATAATGAGAGAAGAGAGCAGCAGACCTTGAATTCTTTCTGGATATGTTTGTCTCTCCCTGGCCGGCTAAATGTGTTTTGACCAGCGCGAAGGACTGGTTTACGGTATAATCCAGAGAACATTTGGATGGCTTTCGAGAAATATCACCCGCCGCGCAGGTCAACGATAAAGACGAACACACTCGCCCACACCCGCAACACCACAGCGGGGCCTCCGATGATAGTTCCTGGCAGTGCGGGACCGTCGACCTGTCAGATGATGACGTGATAGTATCGCACATGATTCTGGATGACGGAATCTCTGCCGAGGAGAAATACCCAGTGCCTTGTCAGCGTGCTGGGCTGCGGTCAACATGGTTTATCCAGCTGTTCCAATGTGGCCAGTCTTGGTGTTCCTGTCTGTTTCAGCAACCGGGGTAAGGTTTCACAGTACGTTAGCGCCGCAACGACGGGGTTACTATATTTAGCTCGGCGGCTAAGAAAAACATCAGATAACCATGACCAGTCCACATTCTTGATGAGGAAAACTGACAACATCGGCGCGTATAAGTTTCTGGAACGTCCAATAGATGAAGAGGGTTGTAAGTGATGATGTGCTCTTACGCAGCCTGATTCCCTGGACTATAAAAACGGGTGCCAGACTCCACGTTCTAGATTCCTAACTGTCCGTTTACATACATCTACTACTATCTTTCTACTAATGCGAAATCCCAATATACCAACAAAGCACCTAATAATCTACCACCAAACAACTTAATCATTTAATTATCATCAGCCGCCAAAATGACCACCTTCTACATCCCAGTCGAACTCCTGTCATACTACTATATCACCATCGATGTGGACACCCCCATATTGCACCCATTGCCCTGTGGTATACCATGTGACGAAACGACAAGTTACTGTCAGATCTCCAGCACCACCGACATCGAACAGGATATACCATATGACACAACGACAGATGACTGTCCCATCACCGAAACCACCCACATCGAACGCAGAGACAGCGGCATCTTTATCCCCTCAGACCCCCCATCCCCCGAACCAAGCACCATCACCATCAACCCAAAACCATCAACAACATACACTGCACCCTCCCGCTGGACAACCCTAACCACCGAAGCCGAGCAAACCAAAGCTCTTGACTTCCTTACCAACAACTGCCACACGATCCAAACCCTCCAAGCAGCAAACTACACCATCAACCCGGATACAACAAAGAACAACATCCGCTTCCAACAAACCCCAGACACATACAACCCTTCCGCCCGCCTCGCAGTCTCCCTCGACTGCGAAATGGTAACCGACATCACGGGCCGCACCCAGCTCTGCCAAGTCAGCTTGGTAGACGTCCTCACGGGGGAACTCCTCCTCGATCAGCCTGTGCTGCCTACCGAGCCGGTCTCCGACTGGAAGACAAAATGGAGCGGGATGACAGCCGAACTCATGGACCAGCACGTCGCCGCTGGAAGAACCGTGAATGGGTACGAAGAGGCACGGGCCTGTGTGTGGGATTTCGTCGACCAGGATACGATTCTGGTCGGCCAGAGTCTGAACTTCGATCTCGATGTGTTGGGCATCGTGCATGACAGGGTCGTGGATACTTACCTTCTTATGAAGGGGGAGAGGAGAGGGAGGAGCTGTCGCCTACGAGATATCGTAAGGGATTGCTGTGGGGTCGAGATTCAGAAGGGGGAGGAGGTCCAAGAGGGACATGACTGTGCGGAGGATTGCTATGCTGCCAGGGAGGTGGCACTCTGGGCTGCGGAGAACCTGGGGAAGGATGAAGGTGGAGGAGGGGGTAGTGCCCAAGGATTGTTCTGTGTTGAGGGTTTCATGTAATGGGTACTATCTCCCGGTGAAGGGTTGTGCTTCCTCGTGTGGAGCCGGGTTATACTTTCGAGAGTCTGGGGAAAGATGGGGGTAGTACCTGAGATTTATTTTGTGTTGAGATCTTCATGTAATGGGTACTATTTCCCGATGGAGGGTTACGCTTCCTCGTGTGGAGCAATTCTATACTTCTCTACTTCTTGACAGACTCTACATCAAGAAGCGTGAGTCAATTCTATGATGACCTTCAACTGTCCTTTTCAATCTTTCCTGCGACATGCTACTGTGTCCTGCGTCTTGATGTGCCTTCTGATGCTGAGTGGACTGTTCCGCGCCTGAACGAGAAGAACCGACACGTACTAGATCACTCACGTTGTCTGGTCATGGGCTACTGATGGTCGGCCAGTATTGAAGGTCGACGATTACTATAACACTGTTGTCTTTTCAAAGGTTGCTGGAAGCATCATTGCGCTGTTATTAGGGTATAGGGCGGAATCCATGGCTCCTTTCTCATTTGAGGAGGCTCAGATGGTGCAATATGTGGCTTACAAATGGACGATCAGATGCGGGTGGTACAGAGCACTATGCATTTTCTATATATTGATGACTTGACTACGATAAGATACCCGGTTTACGCTATGAATTAACTGAAATTATCCACTATTATTGTGCTGCTGTTTTCCTGTTCTGACTGTAGCTGTGAAGGTGTACTGAACGAATGACTCATACTAATATGTGGGGGTAAGAATGACGAGATTTCGTGGAATAGAAAACGATGGAAAGTAACATGTACTGACCTGACATATGCGTAGAATGTAAGTGTCTCCTGCATACGAAGGCATTATGTCTCGTCAATACTCATGCTCGAAAAGGGGTGTTCCCGCCATATATTGATGGTTTGATATACACACAAAGAGCATAAAGCTGACAAACCTTAAATACGAGCAGCATCAATAATGGCTACAACATACTTTAGTACATTGAAATTGTACATGATATATCCTTACTCACAAGGGCTTCTTCCATACCCTTCATGCTGTGTCACAATTATATATACCCCATCCTTGCACGCCATCCAAACAGCATCAATGATTCCATACTGCCAAAAAGCACAAACCACGTTACACAATCCAGCCCTAAAGCAATGCCACCAACCACATCTACCACAATGACCACAACAAAGCAAACCGCAACGACAATGATTACCCAAGAACCAACCACATCCACAAAGCTCATAGCATCATCCACCCTCACCCCAATGATGGACACCGTCTTCAGCATCACCGAACTAGTCGAGTGCATCCTCCTCCGCTTCGACCCATTCGACCTGATGCGCGCCCAACTCGTTTGCCGCCAATGGCGCACGCTAATCACCACGCGCAGCCCGCTCCGAGCAGTCTTATTTTACGACTTCGCCCACCCGTACCCCACCGAACCAACCTTCAACCCATTGATGCGACACCTGTTCCCAGTGCTATTCCCCACCCCAGACTTCACCAAGCCCACCTCCCCAATCTTCATGCCCGAAGACATACATCATATGCGCCTCGGTGACGACACAGCCTACCACCAGGCCGTCTTCCGCCCCGAAGCCTCCTGGCGACGCATGAGACCTATGAATATCCCGTGCCGGGTGCGCAAAGTAGTCCGGAAGACGGTCCGGGATGATCAAAACCCACCGAAGAATCTGCTGGTGTATGATAAAGAGGCCGGACAGGATCCGGTGCTGGGAGCGACGATGGAGCTCGTTTGGGATGTGTTGTTGCATGAGTTAGGGTTTTGGCCGACGAATGGGATGGCGGTAGAGTGGAGGACTGTGAGGGAGGGGAGCGGGGAGTGGGATAATAACTGGAAGGAGGGGGTTAGTGATGAGGAGAAGAGAAGGCTGAGGGCGCCGTATGAGTGCTCGTTTGTGTGTGCGAGTCCGGAGAGGATGCATGGGTGGTGTGATCGGCGTCAGTTTACGTTTGTGAGGGTGAAGCCGCCGGTTAGGATGAAGTCAACGGCGGGGGAGTATTTGGGGATGAGGAATCAGTATGAATTGGATAAGTTTGATTCGAAGTTTTATGGCCCGGATAAGCCTCCGAAGTTTGCGCATAGGGGGGAGTGGGAGTGGATTAATGATGATGGGACTAGAACTTACGACTATGACAAATATGCGCCCAATGACGAGGATAGAGAACGGCCTGTTGAGGATGAGGATGATAGTGGTACGGAGTGGTCTTGGGATGAGGCGAAGGAGTACTTTGAGAGGCCGGATTGCTATTGGGTGCCTACTCATACGCCGCTTTGAGATGATTGGGTTGGGGTATATATAGTCTTGGCTAGAATACTGTCTTCCACCGGTGGTGGTAGTTATGCTGGTGATGCTGGCCGGTAGTGAAAAAGTACGCTCTAGGCCTGTGCAATGAAGATTTGTCATATACCGGAAGCGAAATGCTTGAGTTCTCTCATGGAATAGTCATGATTGCTGTGGCTACTAAAGCAATGCTATGAATAGATAACGTCTTTGCACATGCGGAAATATAGGATTGATTTGCTTTGCGCAGGAAGGGATATGCCTTCAGCCAATAGAAAATTGGACGAGCAGAAAGCCACAGCGACATGCCTCTGCTCCACTGACATGGCGCAGGAAATAACCAATTGACGAGGACATGTTTTGTTCCGGGTCGCTCCACCCCCGTGTTAAGAAATGATCATCTGCTAAGCTTTAGCGAATCCTTTAGCGGCGCCACCACTTTCAATCCAGCCTATCAAAAGATGACAGCAGTTTGTGTAACATCGTGAAATGAAGAATCCAGTAAAAAATATCCAACATCCGCTGTCATAATCATGTAGAAGATATCTGATTATGTGTATGACCTAAGTAAGGGTATTGCAAAGGCCGGAACCAGGCTATGATGCACTAATGGGATGATGGAAAGTCGCATTCGGATTACGTCGACATTCGGACAATGCTTCCGAGCAAAGCGTCGATGTGACAACAAGCTGATACTATTGTGAGACAGTATAAGTACGCTCGTCTCCCCTACATCTCTGCAGAACTGTCATGCTCTAGATTCTCCTAGAGTGTCTCATAGCATCAGAACATACCACGCATAGCCCAAATGGACGTCCTCGACGAACAGAAAAGTCCATTATGCGTGGCATGGGACGATGCTTCCTCAGACCCCGACTGCCCGGCGGAAAGCCCAACAACCCCGGGAGACGATAACGGCGACAAAGGACACACGGCTGCGCAAGCGGCACTCGCAATTCCGGAGATTGTAGAGATGATACTTCTCAGACTCGGCTTTGCGGACTTGCTGCGAATGGAGCAGGTCTGTCGATCCTGGCAGTTCATAATGAGGGGGTCCATCATCATCCGACGGGCTCTGTTCTTCGAGCAGTCGTCGGCCTCTTCTCATGAGGAGTCGGCGCTTAATCCTTTCTTCGAAAAGTGGTTCTGTCCTGGTCACTACTGTAGAAACATTGGGGGTTACTTCGTTCAACGCGGGCCAAGCGGGAAGTTCGCATGGTTTGAGGATGCCAAGCTGAAAGACATCGTCTTATACGAGAAGGCATCATGGCGACGGATGTGGCCATCGACTGTCCCTGTTGTCCTCGAAGCTATTAGCCTGCACACGAAAAGGCAGGACCCAGGGCCAGGGATTAGTGATCATGTCGACTTGAACAGGGAGCACAGTCTTCTGAGAAGTGATACCAACGGCATGAATCTCAGCGGATTCCTGGAGGCGATGATATCGCTAATGAACCATTCAAAGTCGCCGGAATTCACTGTGTTCTGGAAGAAGACGGCAGATAATAGTGGCAGACCACGTTGGCAACTGATTACTATCTTGAATCCAAGCCAGCT